TAAAATTTCAGCTTCCCATCTTTCCCGATCGCTGAGGCGAAAGTGGGTAACAAATTTCACTCGCTTCCGAACACACACACGGACGACGTTTTGACAACATGCGTTTTTGTTCATTGCAAGAGCGCTATAGCGCTACACAACAAAAACGCATAACAAAACTGAATAAAAAGGGAAAAACTGTCAAGGGAAGGAAGTAATAGTGAGTTGACGAGCAACACGAGTATCGGGAATATAAGCCGACACTGAGCGGGTCGACTGGATGGACGGATCTGTGGTTGGATGGGCAGCTGTTTGCAAGAGCTCAACAATTTATGTATTTAGCACTTTCAGCAATTCCATGCTGCTTTCCCTATTAAAACAGTAAGATAATGAATTTGAGTGCTGCCACTCCCCTCCCTCCTCTTTATCCACTTCAGCTCTCTAGCCACCATATGAACTATGTCACTGTCGCCAGTTGAATCTTTCGTCCTGTGCTGTGGATTGTAAACCAAGTAAATCCAAAACTCATAGCCTTGCTCTTCTGCAGTTACCTGAATATGAGTTGGAAGTCATGGCACAAAAATGTATGAAAACTCATTTCAGTTAGTTCACTTCATTTCATTAGATGAATTAAAACTGCAAAATTTGAAGTGAGTCGCTCAGCGTGCTCACACAATATTAACCTGTAGCGAAACCTAGTCACAGGTCAGAGTACAAAGAAGTTCGAATCCAAACCTGAACTACCTGTCTACTCTTGCGCAGTAGATACAAATTGGGACCTTCTAGCAGCTTTAGTTCTAGGGTAATAGCACAAGTTTGAAGTCGAGAGGAGATCAATATATGACAAATTAAAGTACGGAAGCTCATTATAAATCTTTTACCTCAATGTACGCAGTAAATTAAATATTGAGAATTTTGAGTTTTCAGTTATTTTTGTTGCTTAGTTATAAAATTAGCTGGTTTCTAAAACCCAGTTTAAAAATCAGGTAAAAAAAGCTTTAGAAGTTGATTTTAGATTTTTCTTTATCCAGTACTCAGTGACTGTATCCACAAACTTTTAGTTTCTCCCCTTGTGCTGTTTTCGAGTTAAATCAGTTAAACATACACATACGGCTTTGATAACAAAACAATATGTTTCATTCAAAAATGCATAAAAATCAAAATTCACGGCCTGCTTCCGTCCCAGCGCCTTGCAGTTTAAACAAACATTGAAACTGGAAGAAAAAAATAGTCTTGTGTATTTCCGTCTAACAGATTGCTGCTCGACTAACAGTCCTCGTTTTTTTAAGCTTTTATTGAACGAGCAGACAGCAAGCTGAAAGAAAAAGCGAGACCGAGCATGTGCCCGGAAGGGTGGGCGGATGGAGCTTAAAAATTGGAGCGAGCAAGCAGCTTCTGGATAAACAATATCTATCGATCCGTGACGCATTTCGTCCTGATGACACAGTGTTTAGAAACGATGTAGAACCATGCCAGCAGCAACTAGGGTAGTATACTTACGAAGCAGAATGAAAGGAGAGGCTTGGGTGGGAAAATGAAGAAAAAAAGAGGAGACTGGAGTGCCTCTTATACCCGCGGCGTGACAACGAAAAGCAGCAAAATTTTGTTATAATTTTATGCGTGGTGGTCCTCATGCCCTCTCAAATTCGCCGCCTACCCTCTAAAAAAGTCTATGTCACTTCACGTTTTAGTTAATGCCTAGCGTAGCAAGACACAATTTTTAAATAAGTTGGTTGATGTTTTTTACATTTGCATAAATGTACAAAAAAGCACTATTTATTAATATACTTACTCAAAAAATTACTTGCCATTTGCCAATAAAATTTCTAAACGTAGCTTTTCTTTTCAGAAAAAAAAACCTGACTGATTCAATCATGTTATTCCGCATTTGTGCCAAATCCTAATTTGTCTCAAAAGCAAAACGACAGACAGTTCTACAAACATTCCGTTATGGACGCACTCTCTTTGTGCTGAGAAATTACATTTAAATCCAAAAATTGAAACCGTATTCAGCTAGTAATGCCGACGACACAGGTTGGTGGAATGAAGTGACAAGACTAAAAGGAGGAGGAGACCGAGAGTTATGACGGATGAAAACGAGCGGAGTTTGGAGTCAAAAGTAATTAGCATGGATGCATGAACAAAATTTGAATTCCCAGGAGTGAATGACGAATTTTCCAAATTCCATTCAATACCGTGTTTTCCCATACCTTATTTGTGAAGCTTCATTTTCGCAAAGCTGCGGAGTTCTTCTGGGAAATTTAATAGGTTCCAGTTCAGAGTAAACAGACTCTGTATGATAGGTTAATAATTTAAAAGAATTTGAATTATTTTAAAAACATG